CAGGCTTAGCAGCAAGCAATCCTGCATCAGTAAGCAAATCCAACGCATACTTGCGCTGACAAACAGAAAAACCAGCAGGGGATCTTGCTATTTCTAAGCCTAGGAAGTATCTAAGCTGACCAAGATCTTTGATCTTAAAGGCATCATCTAATTGAGACTTTAACAAATTAAGAGATTCTAAATCATCACCAGCCATTATTGCATCATCAACATAGACCAACACAGCAAGAAACTTACCCTTGTTAGACTTAGTAAACAAAGAGTAATCTGCCTTAGATTGTGTATACCAGCACAGATCAAAAATTGAGTGATTTTGTGATTCCATTGGCGACTAGCCTGTTTTAATCCATATAGTGATTTGTTAAGTTTGCAAACAAGGTTCTTTGATGGTAAATGTAGACCTGGAGGAGGTTTCATATATACTTCTTCTTCTAAATCACCATGCAAAAAAGCATTGTTAACATCTAATTGTTGTACATGCCAATTTCTAATAGAAGCTAAAGCAAGTAAAGCACGTACAGTTGTAAGTTTTGCTACAGAGGAAAAAGTTTCCAAATAATCCAGTCCAGGAGTTTGAGTATAACCCTTGGCAACTAACCTCGCCTTATAGCGTTCTATGCTACCATCTGGCTTAAATTTAATACGAAATACCCATTTATTGCCTATTGCACGCTTACCTGGAGGCAGTGGAGATAGAGTCCAAGTATTGGTGTTAGCCAATGCTAGGAGTTCTAAATCACACGCCTCAACCCACCGTGGATCTTTCGCAGCTTCTGCATAAGTGGCTGGTTCTGTTTCATTGTGAATAGCCATGACAAACCGTCGATAAGTAGGGGACAGCCTGTCATAAGAAAGAACTTGGGAAATAGGATACTTAGTATTAGCATTAGTTCTTACATAATCACTTAATTTCTTGGGAGGCACCCTAACCCTGTCAGAACGCCTAAGAGGAACACTACTGCTTGGTTGATCAGTGCTGTTAGGGTGAATAACTAATGGAGAAGATGATTGTAGGCTGTTTGGAATGTCGCCCGAAATGCAAGCAGAAGGATTAGAAGTTATTGGGAGAGAAGGAGTCACTAAGGAAGGGGAAACTGAACTTTCTATAGGCTGAATATCAATGAAAGGCAGAACCTGATCTAAAGATTGTAAGGACAGATCATTATTCGAAAAGGGAAGAATATTCTCATGAAATGAAACATCCATAGATTCTAAGAATTTGTGAGAAACTAAGCTATATAGTTTATACCCCTTTGTAGCAAAAGGAAACCCAAGAAAAACACAAGGTTCAGCCCTAGGTGAAAACTTAGGACGATTATGAGCTAATGTGGATGCGTAACATAAACAACCAAAGACTCGTAACACATTGTAATCGGGCTGTTTGTGAAAAAGAAGTTCAAAAGGTGATTTATTGCTTAAGACTGGAGTTGGTAAGCGATTAATGAGATGGACAGCATGCAAAACTGCATGTCCCCAAAACATAATCGGAAGAGAAGCTTGCATAAGAAGAGCTCTAGCCATAGCAATGATATGTTGTTTCTTGCGCTCAACACGGCCATTTTGATGTGAAGTTGCATTACAGTGGTTTGGTGAATAATTCCTAATGAATTATAAAAGGATGGCATGGAAAACTCAGTCCCATTATCAGTCCTTATGACTTTAACATGTTTAGAGAACTGAGTATGTACATAGGCACAGAAGGTTTGCACAATAGACCGAGCTTCTGACTTAGAAGCCATTAAGTAACACCATGTATTTCTAGAGTGATCATCAAGTATAGTAAGAAAGTATCGATTTCCATCAATAGTAGGAACCCCATATGGACCCCATATGTTAATGTGAACTAAATCAAACAAGCTAGCAGCATAGGAAGAGTTGGAATGGAAAGGTAAACGACGCTGCTTAGCAACAGGACAGACAGAACAATGCAAATGTTGACACTTATTACTATCACTAAGACCTGGAACTGAACTATGGCCAAGACGATAATGCCATCTATCAAACTGTCGAATAGTTGTGTCAAACACAACAGATAAAGTGATAGGAAGAGATAGAGGAGAGGATTCTCGTCCAGACTCGACTTGGAGGTAGTACAGCCCGGCAATCTGCTTAGCTATACCAATCCTCTGCCGGGACTGGATATCCTGAATCAAGCAATATGAATGAGAGAATATCAACTCACACTCATTCTGTTTGGCTAACTGACTAGCAGACAACAAGTTAAAGGAAAAGGAAGGAATCAATAACACATCATGTACAAGTAATGTAGAAGATAATTGCACAGACCCTTTATGAGTAACATCTACCCGAGACCCATCAGGAAGAGTGACAAACATACCAGTCATGGGCTTAAACTCGACAAAGAAATCCAATGAACAGGCAACGTGATCAGTGGCACCACTGTCTATAATCCATGTATTCCTAGAACCACCTAGCGAGCTAGGAACCATAGAGGAAAGAGCCAACTTACCTGCAGCAGCATGAGCTGCCATCGGACTAGGCTGACTCAGGCCAACCGAAGAAGATGCACCCGTGGAAGAGGATCCAGGCTGAGCAGTCATGAGGCAAGAAACAGATCCCACTGCTGGCATAGAAGAAGAAGCCTGAGCAAGCAGTTTCTGATATTGCTCGGAAGTAAGAACCACAGACTCGCTAGTGAGAGGACCATCAGAAAGCAGAGATGCCTCAGATCCTTCAGCAACCACCGCGTTGACCTTGCCTTTACCCTTGTAGCCCGGTGGATACCCATGCTTCTTGTAGCAGCGATCCATAGTATGGCCAACTCCACCGCAATGAGTGCAAATAGGTCGTTGGCGATTACCAGCACCGCGACCTTGTCCTTGACCTGGTCCAGAAGAACGACCAGAGGCTTGGCCCGCCATTGCAAGTGGCCCTGAGAACTAGCTAGCTTCAGATGGACTGATTTGGCGCTCGTGTTGAATCACCAGAGAGAAAACTCGAGTAATCGGAGGAAGCGGCTCCATGAGCAAGATCTGACTCCTGATTTGAGCGAAGTTATCGTTGAGGCCTTTGAGAAACCGGATTACTTGATCTGACTGCTGGTAAGTGCGAACGAGATTGAGCGCACCGCAAGAGCACCTCGGAGTGCAAGAACACGTCGGGAACGGTCGAAGAGTGACCAGCTCATCCCAGAGAACACGAAAACGAGTAAAGAACTCGCTCACAGAAGCAGTGCCTTGCTTGAATGCGAAAACCTCGTCCTGGAGATCAGAAATCCGGATGAGACTCGCCTCGCTGAAACGATCTTGAAGATCTCGCCAAACTTCAATCGCGGAGTCGAACCAGAGGATGCTTTGCGCGATGTCCGAGGCCAGCGATCTGTAGATCCAGCCAAGAACCATCACGTTGCATCTCTCCCACGCGTTGTGAAGAGGCTCGCCTGGAGAAGAAGGAGTGACCGCAGGATCGATCAGAGAAAGCTTGTTCTTCGCCAGAAGCGTGAGACGCATCGATCTCGCCCATGCATAGTAGTTGTTCCCGTTGAAGACGACCGTGACCAGAGGTGTCGCCGGATTATCGCCGGGATTGAGGAAGTAGGGATGGCTCGGATCGAGCAAACCAGAGGGAGTGACAAACGAGGAATTCGCCGGAGCTGATTACATCGACGAAGTCGCCATGATCGAGAGGAATCGAGAGAGCGGAAGGAAACCCTAGAACGAAAAGGGGAAAGTAAGAGAGAGATCAAGAAGTCTCCTCTGATACCATGTTGAATCTTGGAAGGGGAAAAGTCTACTTTTCTTATTAATGAACCGGTAAAAATTACATTGTCCTTATTATAATATATATAGTTTAACAAATAAAACAAAATACAGAAGTAATAAAATATTACAATATAGTGCCTAAACTATTTATCCTTTGCTGTCGAGTCCTCCAACACTTTCCTCCATTTATGAACGAAATTTGGTACGGCCTCATGTATGCTTTCTTGCCGATCCGTTCTCCGGGATCCATGTCAGAATCATGCCTGTCATCTACAGGCGTTCGCCGGCGGCAACATCGAAGCTTCTTGCTCGTCGTCGACTCCAACATTGAAAAGGGATGGTTGTACAAGGGGTGTATGGTCGGAGAAACCAAGAAGTTTGTTCTCAGTTTTCGGAGTCGACGTCGCCTGTCACACTGAGATCGCGGCCGCCGCCGGTCCAATTGAACATTGATCTTCACTTCAGTTTTGGTGAGCTCGACATTGTTTGTTGTGATGGGAAGAAATCAGAATTTGCTGAATGAGTTACTATTAAGTCCTTAATTGCAATTACCAGTAACTATAAATTCTTTTAATAAATATTATATTCTTTATTAGTTATTAATAAATTAGAAATATATTAATTATTCTCAACCGTTGGATATATTGAAGGGTCGAGATTAAACCAGAAAGTGAGTGCGTTCAGTGCACCCAAAAAAATGAGTGCACTGAAGTAGTCACCTATATATATATATTATGAGTTGGTTTGTTAATGATGCATAGATTTACCTCATGTGATTTCTAATAATTTGAGTATTTTCAGCAAATATGTCTCATATATTACATGATGATAAGTTAATCAAATTATCATATATGAACTATAAATATCATGTTATTTAATTTATAAATTATCTTAGAATTGAGCTCGAGCTGAAATTTCAATTTTAATGATGAGTCAAGATTCAATAAATAAGCTGGCTATTGTTCGTCTCGACTGAACTCGTTCATAAAACGAGCCGACCTCGAGTTCAACTCGTTTATAAACGAACCAAACTAAACAAAGCAAAACATGGTTCGGCGCATCTCAGCTCATTAACAAATAATAACCTTACTTACGTCAAAATTTGGACCAAATTAAGGTATTAATTTTATTATTTTTTATAATATTTTGATAATTCACGCAGGGGACTAGAATAATTGGGGGTAAAATGTAAAATTGAAAAGTGAACTAATTCCATGAGTTCGGTTAGGCTATTTTTTATAAAAAAAGAAGAGAAAATGGATTACAAAAAAAGAAAATATTCTGGTCTCTTGTCCGGCTTCAATCTCCATGTGATAGGGAAACTGAGCTCTGGAAACAAGGAAGCAAAACCCTAACTTCAGCACAGTAGCATCGGAAGCAACGCAAATATGGCTTTGGCAATCTCGAATGCCTTTCACTGCACCAAACCCCGAATTCCGCAAGGCAATTTGAACCTGAGAAGTACAGTTACGAGATTGCAGCCCTCCTTCGTTAGGTATGCACATTCGCTCAAAAAAATTTGGAAAATTTAGACAAAGATTCTTAGCTGAAATTGATTTCAAATTAGGTGCTTTATAAGTTTACTTGAACCGAGTCGGAGACAGTGATTAGGAGAAGTGTTTGGCTCCTGAGAATTCGGTTTGGGAAGAAGTTGCCCCTGATGTAAACCCTCCTAGCCACCTCCTTGTTTCATTATCTGACTTGTGGATATGAAGACATAAAAAAGATAACTTTTTTCAGATAGAGATGTTTAACCCTAAAATTTTGTAGGTTCTCTTCTAGAGCTCCATGGACTGGAAGACTTGTTTGCTCGGCTGCTTCTGCTGCGGGGAGCTCTAGCCCAGACAGTGATTTGAATCCATATGAGGTCAATGTGGAATCTTTATATAAGAGGGATTACGCCTGTCCATCTTGGAGTGGTGCTTACGGTTGTTTGTATATTTGCATACTTCATTCAGGTCCTTGGTGTTAACCCCCTTGCTGGGTTTGATGCTGTCAAGTTAGCTCATAAGAAAAAGCGCAAGGAGGCAGAGAGTGTGGGTGATGAATCCACTGTTGCCCAGGTAGTTTAAATCGCTTTTATGGGACTCCTGTGTACATCACCCATTTCAGGACACTTGCATATGCACGTTTCTAATGTTAACGTCGTCTTATTTCCAGCTTGACAAGGCATATGATAAGCTGATGATGGCACAGCTGAAAAATCGAAAGGAGGGTGTGACATATGGTTCCTTCAAGGTAATGTTATTGGCACTCTTTTAAAATCCTCCGAGTTAGTGGGTACTGGGTAGATGTGATTTATGGCATGATTATTGTTTTCTTGTTTATTATCTGTCGTTGAGGAAATTTATGGATTTTGTAAATTATTTGGTTCGTGATATGGTGTACGTTTGAACATTCTGTCTAGAGGATGAGAAATGATGGACTTGGAAGTTGCTTGAGGCTAGGGTTGGTGTTCGTTTTGTGTTTGGTTATTGGTCATGACTGTCGTCCTTCACCGTTCTGAGGTTTATTTGATGAACTTTTGTCAGTTAGAGCACGGTAACTGTATGCAGAAAAAGGTGAAAATTGTATTTGGTCTGTTATCTGTGTCTCATTTTGCCCATGCTTGCATATTGTAAAATTAGAGTTGTGCCACCATCTATGTCTCCTTTTGCAGACGCTTGTATATTGTGATTTTGTTATTGATGGGACTTCCATAGAATTGTTCTTCTGCTCTTTATTTACAATCATTATCTGTCATCTTGCAGGTCTCAAAGGACATTAAATATGCTGATAAGCAGCCTATCGTGCCATGGGGACCGAGGTACTATAGTTGCTCGTGATTGGATTTCGGGATACACCCTCTTGATTTCTGAATCTTTGTTATGCACTTGTTTTGAATTGTTCTCTGTTAAATTGGCGTCACACTTTGTAAGAGAGATGATGTGTAAGAATCAACGACCAGAACACATAGAATCCCTTCATTCATTAAGAAAGTGGTTAAGAAAGATTGCAGGATTAATTCTTGTCATTCTTGTACATTCTTTGCTAAGATAACAGTAGTCTAGAATGTTTATCAGGATTGGGTGAAAGGGGACATGAACCAAGTGCTGGTCAAATAGGATAATATTTTTTTTTCTTTTTCAGGTTTACCAAGTCAAGCCAGACTGATTTGCAGATCAACTTGGCGATATCTGCTGTATTTGTAAGTAGCAAAGTGAAACTTATGCCTGCAGAAATATTGAAGAGGAAATTGTGGATCTCTGTTTTTAACTATCTGGATAGTCTGGCATTTACCAATTGTTCTCGTAAAAAAGATGATGGGCAATGCGAGTCAGTACTTTGCAAATCTTTCTCTTCCAACATGATTTGAAGCAACATGTAGATAGGAAACATTGGTGGTGCTATGTATGGAATCCGAAAACTCTAATCATTCTTGAAGGCATAATTTTTCATTCAGCATGATAGATAACTGACCCTGTTGTTAGTGGCAAATGGCAGGGTATTATTGCCCTAAGCTTAAATGTTCAGATCCCCACAGAACTGCTGCTCTGGTTTTTTCTTCTTTTCATTCAGTTATTCTGTTCTGACAGTCTTTTTATTGCAGACAGCTTGGATTCTGTTCAAACGCAGTGCTGAATACAAGCCTTTGCAGTTTCTGACTTTTGCATTTGTATACCGCGTTTTTGAGAAGTTAAAGTCCTATGAACCATCTGTATCACCAACCCTTACAGTGAGTCAGAGCTTAGTTCAAGACATACTTTTTTCTTTGGAAACTTATATGGTCTGCGACATGCATAATCAATTGAACTCATCGTTTCTGCAGGAAGAGGGTGTGGACGATGGCAGAGCACTAAGAATGGGAAAGCGGCTTCTCCGATCTCTTGCACTAGTTTTTGGCTGCATTGCTTTTGCTTCTCTGGTATGAAAGTTCTTGCATATTCAGCATGCCTTTCTGAGAAAATAAAAAAGAAAAGCAAAAAATCTTCTACTTCAGCGCAGCACTGTTCTTTTAGGTAATGGGGGTAACTCTGTGGATGTCTCTTTATGTAGGCTTACACTGGGGTCTTGAATTTGATCGAGTACGCGGGTGGTTTCATACCTGTATTCCTATACAACAATCAGGTGATAATTACAGGGGGTCATCATACGCTTATGCATCCTGTTTTAGGTTTCTCAACTTGCTAACACACATTGGCTTGCAGGAATTGATAATCACTGCTTCATCAGCAATCTCTTTATACATTTTGGCTTCGTATTATCGATGATGCATCAGCAGAAAGAGCTGCAGGAGCTGTCTACTACAAACAGCAAATTTGTTAGGGTTGAATGTCTGATTAAGTGGGGCTGGTAGCTTTTGCTATCAGATTTCGTTCATTTATTTGCTTTTAACTACAAGTTTCATTCGGCTCTGGATCGCGTGCCATTAACTTACGGCAAATATTATTGATTGGTACTAGGAGGAGAGTAATAGGAAAAGGGAAAAAGTTTTGCTCTTTTATAGCATTGGCTTGGATGCATTTTGTTTGTGTTAATGTCCAGCTAATTTCGAGTTGAGGAAGGTTCTGCCAGGTGTTAACTATGGTCTCTGCCCCGCCATCTCCGAGTAATGAATTTCCTCGACAGAAAGAAACTCCGTTGGCAATCAACTAGTGGGTGTAAGCTTGACCGAGAAGATCCACTGACCTGTCCCGTCCCGTCCCTGAGGGTTGAGACGAGTTAGTTTGTCTATAGGGTTAGATTAGGGACGGGTCATTTGTCGACCCTGTAAGGGTTGAGACGAGTAGGGATAAATTAGGGATGGATCACTTTTTGATCCTGTGACCCTTAGCAATAATAAATATCTGCTAACACATTGGACCTTTTTGTAAAGTTTTAAAAGTTTGGTTTGTGAAAATAAAAAAATATGGATATCAAAACGTAATTTTACCAACAAAAGTTATGGACTTATTTGTAGGAAAAAGAAATTTAGGTAGTAAATTGTAAGAAAAAATAATTTTAGGTATCAAAATATAATTTGTAAAAAAAATAGTGTGTTGATAGGGGTCGACCTACTGACCCAACTTGTCCCTATCCGTTCTAACCCTTAGGGTCAGACGAGGTCAAGAAGGAAACAGAGATGGGACGAGTCAGTTTTACATCTTGACCATTCAAGGACGGGTCAGACAGGATCAGTGACGAGTCGGGACAATTTTCATCCCTACAATCAACCAACTGGGCTCTCTTCCATCACTTAGGATACCAAATATCCATTGCAGCTGTGTTTGGGGTTTAAGGATCGACTTAGCTAGAGGTGTGGACTAGGTCGTCAGGAGGGCACGTACTCTGAGCAAGCGAATGGAGGATTGATGATTTTGTAATCGAAGATCCACCTTTACAGACTTTAATAAGAAGAATCTAGCTTGAAATCTCTCCACCCTACTATCAGAGTGCAAGATTGATCTGCACTGAATTTGGTTGGAAAGAACCGTATGGACCAATCTACATTATCCGAGTACTAGGAGTAAGTGAACTCTCAAACTTAACAGGGTATATTCCATATACGACACGGATACAGAGTAAGGTCCAAGGAGCATTATCTATCCCTCGCCGAATAGTATAAATACAATGCAGTGCCAGACTTGTAGTTACTTGTGAACCAAGAAAGAACCCTAGAATTCCTTACGACAAGCCAGAGTGAAGATGAGAATCATGGCAAAGGGCAGTCTGTGGAAGAACTCGGAGGACGAGGTCCTCAAGGCGGCCATCATGAAATACGGCAAGAACCAGTGGGGTCGCATCTCTTCCCTTATCGGCAGTAAATCCGCCAAGCAGCACAAGGCCCGCTGGTACGAGTGGCTCGATCCTTCCATCAGAAAGGTACTTCACTCCCGCGATTCTTTCCGGCCAATTTCACATCTCAATCTGTAAACCGGTTTGTTTGTATCATTGTATGTATGGAGATGCTGATTGTAGTTTGTTTTTGATTCGAATGATTGTTTGTAGACTGAATGGACAAGAGAAGAGGACGAGAAGCTGCTTCATCTCGCCAAGCTAATGCCCGCACAGTGGAGAAGCATCGCGCCAATCGTTGGGCGTACTCCATCCCAGTGTGTCGAACGCTACGAGAAGCTCCTCGATTCAGCAGTAGCTTCTGGCAAAGATGGTAACCGCCACGACGATGACAACTACGACCCTCGCAAGCTGCGTCCAGGAGAAATCGACCTGAACCCCGAATCCAAGCCAGCGCGTCCAGACCCTATTGACATGGACGATGTCGAAATGGAGATGATATCGGAAGCACGAGCTCGGCTAGCCAACACGAGAGGTAAGAAGGCGAAAAGGAAAGCGAGAGAGAAACAGCTTCACGAGGCTAATTTTCTTGCTTGTTTGCAGAAAAGAAGAGAAGTTAAAGCTGCTGGCATTGCTGATTCTGTTAGTCAATCTAGGCGGATGAAAACGAAGGGGATGATCGACTATAATGCTGAAATTGCATTTGAGAAGAGGCCGCCTCCTGGATTCTACGATGTTAGCGATGAATATCGAGCAGAAGTGGAACGACAACCTATGTTTAAGTTCCCAATTACGGTCGCAGAACTGGAAGGGGAAAGACGGGTTGACTCGGAAGCAGAGTTGAGAAAAAAGGACGTTGCTAAGGATGCAATTGCTGATAGGCGGAATGCTCTATCGGCTATCCTGCGAACTAACAAGTCGAATGATGGCGAAATGTTGATGAAGGGATCGAAGCTGGTGCTTCCTGCACCGCAGATTTCTGGTAATGAATTGAGGGAAATTGCTAAAATGGGGTATGCTACTGCTGGTGGTAAGCTTGAGGGACGGAAGCAAACTGACTTGGAGAAGTTGCAAGCTGGTTTTTGTAATCTGCCGCAGCCTAGGAACGAGTACCAGATTGTTGTTGGCCAATTAGACACGTAGAGTGATGAATATGAAAAACCTGAGATAAGAGACTGATGGTACTGCACAATAGGTAGGGAGTTTCCAAGGCGCACGACTGCGTGCTTTGGAGTTGATGGGGACAATTGACTTGTAGAGGTAATTGAGCAAGATGATGATGAACAAATCACAAGTACTGTTCTAATTTGTCTTTTGTGTAACACGTTTTGTTTTTAGTGGCCAAACAACTAACACCTTCTTCTCTACACAGCCACACAGACCCCCCATCCCGCGCCTTATACAAATGCGCCCGGCAAGAAACACACAGTATGTATACGTTTGAAATTTCATTGCTGGGCACATGCAAACTGAGGGCACCAGAAAATCACAGATGCTCACACACCCTGCTCGCCTAATGTTGCCTTGCTGATGTGCCCAGTGTCGGACGCCCATGCCGGTATGTGGTTCCCATTATCAACCCGCCTCATGCCCGACATCGCCACCGCCTACTCAGCAGTGCCCCACTGCTGATGGAGTAGTCGGGCTTGTGATACACTAAGTAATCATTGGTTACTCATTTAGAAGTAACTAAATCTGGATTTTTAAATTTAAGTGGTTTCAGAAAATTTAGATTTAAGGGTTGCGAATTAAAGACATTTTATTTTCCTTAGTTTTCTTAATCAACTCTTATCTTCTTCGTTCTAACTTGGATTTCAATTTTTTTTTTTTTTTGCACAGATGGAGCGAGTTCGTTGTATTCTACAAAATGAGATCAATTTTCAATATATTTCGAGAAACTTTTTTCATACCTCCCGTTAGGGCTGGGCATGCGGGCGGATCATCCACGGGTTTGGGCCGACCCACCCGCATTTGACCCGAATTTCGTTAAGTGGGTGGGTCTATGGGTGGGTGACGGGTTGCGCTGGGAGTCATCCGCCGGGTGGTGGGTGGGTTGTGGGTGAGTGTGCGGGTGACCCGCTCAACCCAACAAAAAAAAAAAATCAAAGTCGTTGGCGCTAGAGAGAGGAGAGTGGAGACGTTAGATATAAACTCGGACTGCTCCTGGAGTTTGAACCTCAAAGCCAACCTTCCAAATAGAGATCCCCTCTTCTTCCATTTACTTTTTCCTCTAATTCTTGTGCCTAGATCAACGCTCTTTCCTTTGTGGAATTATTTTCCTTAGTTCCTTACACCTAATAATCATCTCAATCTGTAGAAAACTCTTTCATAATAGAATTCCTATCCAATTTAAGAACTAATTCGACATTTTTCGCCCTATTTCAACTTCTGGTTTTCCTCGATGATTCTCTTCACCTATTATAATGCAAGTTGACTCCTTTATATTATATAAATTGTGATGTGGGTGAACCCACAAACCCACCCACATCATCCACCATCCGCCCGACCCAACCCGAGACTAAATGTGGGTGGGTGGTGGGTTAAAAATTAGCAATCCATTTAAGCGCGGATGAGTGCATTTAATTGTCAAAATCCACCCGACCCACCCAATGCCCACCCCTACCTCCCGTTACCATCTACATACCATATGGTAATTTTTTAGTTTTTAAGTCGTTTTTTAAAACATTTTATCAGAAGAAACGAGTTCATCGTGATCTATTGGATCTACAAATTTTTGGGTGAAAAAATACAGGATACAAAATTATCATATTTTACCACTATGGTATGTGGGTGGTAACTCGTGATAAACAATGATGAAATTCGTAAATGACAGTTAGTATATTCATACTTTCATGTATTCAACATTCCTACCATATTGCGCTTTCTTACCATATGGTATTAAATAGGAGCATACCATATGGTATTGAATGGTAAAAATTGACTCAATTTTTTTTGTTCTAAAAATATATCAAAGTAGATATCATTTTAAAGAACACAATTAATCTTATTTATATGTGCAAAAAAATTAAATTTTGACTTAAAATGAGAGAGAAATCGCCGGTTAAAGACTAAAGGGGAAAAAATAAAAGACTTTTCAGTAGAGAGAGGGATGGTGATGTCATACTGATATGGACAAGTTACTCATGATTATCCACCATAAAATAACTGACCTGATCCGCTCCCGAGTAGTCGATAACCGAGCCTAGAAAAAAAAACAAGTATCAAGCAACAACATAACTGTTGTTATTGTTGATTGTTGATATATAAATGCTTGGTTTCAAATTTCCTATTCAATAAGAGGTAATTTCGTAAGTACTACAAATTTTAGGGTATGTGTGTTAAGAATCATGAACAAGGCGGAGCCATTTTTTGAGTTTATCTTAGACTTTTTGAGTTATTTTGAAACTTCTAATATGTGTTATTAACTTAAAAGTCATTTTGATTACTTAAAAGGTTCACGGTTGATTACTGAAAATATTTATTTCTATGCGTAAATTGCAAGGTTGGTCACTTTGATTACTTAAAAGGTTCAAGGTTGATTACTGAAAATATTTATTTCTATTCGTTGTCACTAAAATTAATTAAATAGTTAAAGTTTAGTCACTTTCCGTCTAATTTAGTTAACTTTTGTTTATGCGGCAGTCAACTCATATAGTTGACCGTTAAATGTGTGACATGACACTTAAAAAATATAAAATAAATAAAATTGAATTTTCTAAAATTGTCACCTCATTATTTACAACTATTAAAAAATATAAAAAAATAGCGGTGACCAATGCAGTCAAAAGCGCGATTCTACCTAAAAGCGGAAAAGAGGTAAAATCGAAAAGCGGCGAATCAAAGAGTAAAAGCGTAAGTTTTTGATGCATCATGTATAATAGTTAAAAATCTGTTAAGTACCACATGTATTATGCAAAATATGAGTGCCTGGAGTTTAGACAAGTGAATAAATACATGCAATTCATGTCCAAATTAAAGCAAATTCATAACATCTTAACAATAAGATCATAAACATACTGTAACCCACAAACGAGTTAATAACCAAATTCTCACAACATTAGC